TTGGCTTCAATGGGAGGAATAGTGCTCCATTGTTGGTGTCAGTGGGAGGAATAGTGCCCCCATCATTGGTGTCAGTGGGAGGAATAGTGCCCCATCATTGGTGTCACTGGGAGGAATAGTGCCCCATCATTGGTATCAGTGGGAGGAATAGTGTCCCATCATTGGTGTCAGTGGGAGGAATAGTCCCCCATCATTGGTATCAGTGGGAGGAATAGTGCCCCATCATTGGTGTCAGTGGGAGGTAAATAGTGCCCCATCATTGGTGTCAGTGGGAGGAATAGTGCCCCATCATTGGTGTCAGTGGGAGGAATAGTGCCCCATCATTGGTGTCAGTGGGAGGAATAGTGCCCCATCATTGGTGTCAATGGGAGGAATAGTGCCCCATCATTGGTGTCAATGGGAGGAATAGTGCCCCATCATTGGTGTCAATGGGAGGAATAGTGCTCCATTGTTGGTGTCAGTGGGAGGAATAGTGCCCCATCATTGGTGCCAGTGGGAGGAATAGTGCCCCATCATTGGTGCCAGTGGGAGGAATAGTGCCCCATCATTGGTGTCAGGGGGAGGAATAATGCCCCATCATTGTTATCAGTGGGAGGAACAGTGCCCCATCATTAGTGTCAATGGGTGGAATAGTGCCCGATTTTTGGCTTCAATGGGAGGAATAGTTCCCCATTGTTGGTGTCAATGGGAGGAATAGTGCGCCATCATCGGAGTCATAGCAAGCTGCTTGAGGAGCCAGGAGAGCCTGTGTGGGACCCAAGAAGAGAAGGATCTGGGCTGCTCTGTGCAAAACCACTACACACAGCAGGTAAGTATAACATATTTGTTATTTTGCAAAAAAAAAAAAAATGAACCTTTATAATCGGTTTTACCTCTAAGCACAGACGTAAACCTAAAAAAATAGTGCCCCATTGTTGGTGTCAGTGGAAGGAATAGTGCCCCATCATTGGTGTCAATAGGAGGAATAGTGCCTCATCATTGGTGTCAATAGGAGGAATAGTGCCTCATCATTGGTGTCAATGGGAGGAATAGTGCCCCATCATTGGTATCAGTATGAGGAATAGTGCCCCATCATTGGTGTCAATAGGAGGAGGAATGTGCCCCATGATTGGGGTCAGTGGGAGGAATAGTGCCCCATCATTGGTGTCAATAGGAGGAATAGTGCCCCATCATTGGTGTCAGTGGGAGGAATCGTACCCCATCATTGGTGTCAATGGGAGGAATCGTACCCATTCATTGGTGTCAATGGGAGGAATCGTACCCCTTCATTGATGTCAAGGAATCCTGCCCCATTGTTGGTGTCAGTAGGAGAGAAATAATGATTTAAGGACCAGATAAAGGCAAGGAAAGCGCCACACCCATCCCCCATACTGCTTATTTTTTTCAAAGTTCAGCTTTAACCTCCAACCACAGAGGTAAACCTAAAACATAGTGCACCATTGTTTGTGTCAGTGGCAGGAATAGTGCCCCATCATTGGTGGTAATGGCAGGAATAGTGCCCCATCATTGGTGTCAGTGGGAGGAATAGCACCTTACCATTGGTGTCAATGGCAGGAATAGTGCCCCATCATTGGTAGTAATAGGAGGAATAGTGCCCCATCATTGGTAGTAATAGGAGGAATAGCGCCCCATCATTGGTGTCAATGGGAGAAATTGGCGCCCCATTGTTGGTGTCATTGGAAGGAGTAGTGCCCCATTCTTGGTGTCAGTGGAAGTAATAGTGCCCCATTGTTGTGTCAGTGGGAGGAATAGTGCCCCATTGTTGTGCCAGTGGAAGGAATAGTGCCCCATTGTTGGTGTCAGTGGGAGGAATAGTGCCCTATTGATGGTGTCAGTGAGAGGAATAGTGCCCTATTGTTGGTGTCAGTGAGAGGAATAGTGCCCTATTGTTGGTGTCAGTAGGAGAAATAGTAATTCAAGGACCAGTTAAGGACAAGCAAAGAGCCACACCCATCCCCCATGCTGCTTATTTTTTTCCGGAGTTCAGCTTTAACCTCTAAGTACAGAAGTAAACCTAAAGAAAAGTTTCCCCGCCCTTGTCAGAGCCTTTCTGTTCCCATCTCCCGCGGTGTTAGTTTAGCCCCTTGTCCCCCCCCTCCCATCCATCCCTCACTTTGAGTTGCGCCATGTACCCTTCACAACGCTTTGTTCTTCCTCCTCCATCGGACATCACTTAGCTCTTATTAGACGTGTATAATTCCGGCGCGGCGGCGGGGAGCGGGCCGGTAAAGGTTAGGTCGGTGTGATGGGCGCCGGCTGATGTCCGGGTGACAGCCGCTTGTCAGGCCCATGAAAAGAGAAACTTGTTATTCTGCTCTTTGGGCTGATGTAGTGAAACCGTCGTCTGTATTAATAATTCACTCCTCCAGGAGCCCGGGCTGTCCGCGCCTCCGGAGAACGCCATCTCGCTGCCTCCCTCGTAGAAGCCAATTAGCGTTCCGTGCGCCGATGTCATTGTCATCCCTTTAAATGTCGGGCCGGAATTATTCCTCTCCGCACATAAAAAGACGATAACAGAAAGTCTTCCCTCCCCTTTCGCCTTTTATTTCTTCTTAAAGGGCAAACGTCGGTGATAAGTTTTCCGGCGTCTCCGGGCGCGGCTTATCGCCGTAATGTCTTTCAGCGGAAGAAACGGTCTGTCTGGGTTGTATGTGGAGAAGCGGACAGTGATGGGCACAGCGCCCCTCTGCAGGGTAACCTTTCCTTTGTGGTGGCTGATGGCCGCCGCTGTCAAAGCGTACAAGTAAATGTCCCCCCACCACCCCCTCCCGCCCCCCCCCCCCCCCCCCACCCCCCCCCCCCCCCCCCCCCCCCCCACCCTCACACTCACCCCAACCCCCCCAGTGTGATGAGTCTATCCGGGAGTTCACTTCTTCTTCATGTCAGGCGTGCTCACTGTTTCGAGTATTGGAACCATACAAAGAATTCCCCTTTTTCTGTCATTAGTATTTATTTCAGGTGCTGCCCCCTGTGTTGGTGTCAGTGAGAGGAATTGTGTCCCAATAGTGGGGTCATTGGGAGAAATTGTGCCCCATCATTGGGAAGAATTTTTTTTTTTCAGGAACTTATATAGCGCCATTAATTTACGCAGCGCATTACATATATATTGTACATTCACATCAGTCCCCGCCCCCGAGGAGCATTAATGTCTCCCACCCTCCCCCTCAACCCTCCCCCCCCCCCCCGTGTGATGAGTCGCTCTGCGGAGTACAGTTCTTTTTCATGTTAGGCGTGCTTACTGTTTCGAGTATTGGAACCATACGAAGAATGCTCCTTTTCTTTCATTAGTATTTATTTCAGCTGCTGCCCCTGTGTTGGTGTCAGTGAGAGGAATTGTGTCCCATCAGTGGGGTCATTGGGAGAAATTGTGCCCCATCATCGAAGAATTTTTTTTTTTCCAGGTACTTATATAGCTCCATCATTTTACGCAGCGCCTTACATATATATTGTACGTTCACATCAGGCCCCGCCCCCGAGGAGCGTACAATGTAAGTTGTCGTGCGTGCTTGCTGTTTCGAGTATTGGAACCATACGAAGAATGCTCCTTTTCCGTCATTAGTATTTATTTATATCAGGTACTGCCCCTGTGCTGCCCCCTGTGTTGGTGTCAGTGAGAGGAATTGTGTCCCATCAGTGGGGTCATTGGGAAAAAATTGTGCACCATCATTGGGAAGAAATTTTTTTTTATTTCAGGTACTTCTATAGCTCCATCAATTCACGCAGCGCCTTACATATATATTGTACGTTCACATCAGGCCCCGCCCCCGAGGAGCGTACAATCTAAGGTGTCAGGCGTGCTTGCTGTTTCGAGTATTGGAACCATACGAAGAATGTTCCTTTTCCGTCATTAGTATTTATTTATTTCAGGTACTGCCCCTGTGCTGCCCCCTTTGTTGGTTTCAGTGAGAGGAATTGTGTCCCATCAGTGGGGTCATTGGAAGAAATTGTTCCCCATCATTGGGAAGATTTTTTTTTTTTTTCAGGTACTTATATAGTGCTGTCAATTTAGGCAGCGCCTTACATATATATTGTACGTTCACATCAGTCCCCGCCCCCGAGGAGCGTACAATCTAAAGTCCTTAACCTACATTCATACATACACATATTAGGGCCAATTTAGACAGGAGCCAATTAACCTACCAGCATGTCTTTGGAGTGTGGGAGGAAACCGGAGTACCCGGAGGAAACCCACGCAGACACAGGGAGAACATGCAAACTCCAATAGAATAGAAAATAAGAGAAAGAATACAATAGAATAGAAAATTAAAAAACAATAGAAAAGAACAGAGTAAAACAGATCAGAACAGAATAGAAAATAAGAGAATAGAATAGAGTAAAACAGAATTTTTTGCCAGGCAGGTGGTGCTGTGGTTGGGATTCGAACCAACGACCCTAGTACTACCAGTATTAACACATTGCTGGTTTTCAGAGTCCGCCTGTACTATAGTTTTATTACCCTTTGATTCTGCCAGTAGACCCTTTATTGTTCAACTTATGTAGCAGGGTGACAACTCTGTTCCTCCTGCCGTGAAATCGCACAGCAGCGTTGTCACCCAGTAGACGTGGTAGTCTTAGCCCTCTTTACTACGACTGCCTTAAGGTTTACTTAACCCCGCATTCACTATATCCGCTCTCCCCGGACCCCGCATTCACTATATCCGCTCTCCCCGGACCCCGCATTCACTATATCCGCTCTCCCCGGACCCCGCATTCACTATATCTGCTCTCCCCGGACCCCGCATTCACTATATCCGCTCTCCCCGGACCCCGCATTCACTATATCCGCTCTCCCAGGACCCCGCATTCACTATATCCGCTCTCTCCCAGGACCCCGCATTCACTATATCCGCTCTCCCAGGACCCCGCATTCACTATATCCGCTCTCCCCGGACCCCGCATTCACTATATCCGCTCTCCCAGGACCCCCCGCATTCACTATATCCGCTCTCCCGGACCCCGCATTCACTATATCCGCTCTCTCCCCGGACCCCGCATTCACTATATCCGCTCTCCCCGGACCCCGCATTCACTATATCCGCTCTCCCCGGACCCCGCATTCACTATATCCGCTCTCCCCGGACCCCGCATTCACTATATCCGCTCTCCCCGGACCCCGCATTCACTATATCCGCTCTCCCCGGACCCCGCATTCACTATATCCGCTCTCCCGGACCCCGCATTCACTATATCCTCTCCCCGGACCCCGCATTCACTATATCCGCTCTCTCCGGACCCCGCATTCACTATATCCGCTCTCTCCGGACCCCGCATTCACTATATCCGCTCTCTCCGGACCCCGCATTCACTATATTCCGCTCTCTCCGGACCCCCGCATTCACTATATCCGCTCTCTCCGGACCCCGCATTCACTATATCCGCTCTCTCCGGACCCCCGCATTCACTATATCCGCTCTCCCCGGACCCTGCATTTACTATATCTGGTCTCCCACAGTACACACAACATGGAAATGCAATTATTGTAGTAAATAAAACTGCTAAATCCCTTTTCTCATCAGCAGTATAGTGCAGTCTTGTGACTTCTATCAGTGTCCAGCAGAGCACTGGTTAAAGCTTGTGGGAGGAGTTTTTATTCTCCCCTGATTGTCCTATGAGGCTGCATAGCCCCTGACCCTCTGTCTGGACAGCTCTGATTGGCCCTGTGCTGATCACATGCACTTTCCCAAGAAAAGCAAAAAAAAAAAAAACCTCTAGCAATGCATACCAAAATGAGCATGTGCAGCTTGCCCCCAAGGCTCTGTTCAGTCAGCAGGATTGGGGACTCTGGAAGAAAGGGAGGATCAGAGAAGACAGGATCAAACAGCCTTTTTACACAATGCACAGGTTTAACCCCTTAGGTCCCACAGTGAGTATAACAAACATGCTTTCCTGCCTCTACAGACTGATTGTACTGTTGGGGTTTTGGAGCACTTTAATGCATCTGGACCATCTCGATTGGTCTTTAACCCCCCTGGAGGTATTCCCGAGTGTAGCTCGGGGTAAAGTTTCAGCACCACAAGCGGTAACCCCCCTGAGCTACACTCGGGAATACACTGCAGCGTTGCTCCGGGATCTCTTTTTCACTTACCTTGTCCTGCGCTCCCGCGATGTCCCCCCTGCAGTGTCCCCAGCAATGTCCTCCGGCATCCGTCTTCCATTCCCTGCGACGTCGGGACGTACGGGGGACAGAACCGGCGGAAAAATTCAAAAATGTCAACAAGTGACATTCACTAAAATCACATAGTATAACATTCCTGTATCAAACCATTTCACATACATTGTGTCCCGAGTGCTTTGTCCGGCGCCCTGCCTGCGTTTTTACTGTTCTTTCTGCCTGGAAACTGAGAAACGTCCATGGCGTCCAAAAAGTGTCCCTTTAGGTCAGACGCGGTTTTAGACCGGCTAGAGAACAGCGATAGTAAATCAGAACCACTTGCAGAATTGAGTGATAATGATTGGTGGGGGAAATTCCTCATCAGACACTGAAAACGATTCTGCGACTGAGCTCAGCGATGTGCGAACCGTTTGCACGGTTGCAGAGCCGCGCAGCGGCACGATCTGTCACCGGCCGTGTACCTCGGACACGGCCGATGACAGATCTGAGTACCGGCCCCCGTTGCCGTACCATGTGACCTGCTGTGACCAATCACAGCAGGTCACATGATAGTTGTATACAATGGATGGCTTCATTCATGCCATCCATTGTATACTAGTGCCTAGCTGTGAATGGTCACAGCAGGTCACATGTACATGTCATGTGATTAGCTGTGGCCAAATCACAGCTAAGAACAAAAAAAAAAAAAAAAAATACTGAATGAATCGATTTCATTCAGGTAAATGCTTGCTTATAGCAAAGTAATTCTTTGCTATAAGCAAATTGTGTAAAAAAAAAAAAAAAAATACTGATCACTTCCCCAAAGTAGTACAATGTTACTATGGTAACATTGTACTACTTTGGTCATAGTAAAATATGAAAAAAAAAAATTAAAAAAAATGTAATAAAAAATTAAAAATAATAAAAAAATAAAAAAAATATATATATTATTTTTTTTTTTTTCATACTGTCACCAGTCAGTGTCCCTGATCACCGCCATGCCAGTTATATGATGACTCTGTACTGCACTGGTGACAATATGTAAAAAAAAAAATAGTGAAAATAATTTTTTTTAATTTTTTCATTTTCTGAAAAATTATGACAAAAAAAATACAACTTCAAAAAACTCGCCATTCCTCTTATGAAGTACGTCGGACTGTCTACTCTGCAAAAAGGGGTCATTTGGGGGATATCTGTACCATCCTGACATTTGGGGGATATCTGTACTGTCCTGACATTTGGGGGATATCTGTACTGTCCTGACATTTGGGGGATATCTGTCCTGTCCTGACATTTGGGGGATATCTGTCCTGTCCTGACATTTGGGGGATATCTGTACTGTCCTGACATTTGGGGGGATATCTGTCCTGTCCTGACATTTGGGGGATATCTGTACTGTCCTGACATTTGGGGGATATCTGTACTGTCCTGACATTTGGGGATATCTGTACTGTCTTAACATTTGGGGGATATCTGTCCTGTCCTGACATTTGGGGGATATCTGTACTGTCCTGACATTTGGGGGATATCTGTACTGTTCTGACATTTGGGGGGATATCTGTACTGTCCTGACATTTGGGGGATATCTGTACCGTCCTGACATTTGGGGGATCTGTACTTTCCTGACATTTGGGGGATATCTGTACTGTCCTGACATTTGGAGGATATCTGTACCGTCCTGACATTTGGGGGATATCTGTACTGTCCTGACATTTGGGGGATATCTGTACTGTCCTGACATTTGGGGGATATCTGTACTGTTCTGACATTTGGGGGATATCTGTACTATTCTGACATTCTTGGACCTCAAGAAATTAGATTGGCTGTCAGTACTTCAGGATTGATCAATATTCAGATCTATATCATAGCTTGTGAACTCTATAACTTTCCTACAAACTAAATAATACATCCTAATTTGGGTTATTTTCACCAAAGACATGTAGCAGAATACATCTCGGCCTAAATTTATGAAGAACAATTATTTATTTACAAACTTTTATAACAGAAACAAAGAAAAACGTGTTTTTTTTTCAAAATTTTTGGTCTTTTTTTGTTAATTTAGCAAAAAATAAAAACCCCAGCGGTGATTAAATACCACCAAAAGAAATCTCTAGTTGTGCGAAGAAAATGCTAAAATTTTAGTTTGGGTACAATGTTGTATGACCGCGCAATTGTCATTCAAAGTGTGAGAGCGCTGAAACCTGAAAAATGGCCTGGGCAGGAAGGGGGTAAACGTGCCCGATATGGAGATGGTTAATAATCGGAATATCGAGTTATCAGCATCTTCATACTCGAGTATTATTATATGAACGCCATCCCTTTGGCGCACAGACGCAGTTTACACGGTTTGTACTCCGGTTACGATGGCACAGAATTGGTTAATCAAGTACTCCTGACCTGACTGACACCGAGTACTGATACCCGGGGTCACATGACTCTGTCCGTGATTGGTTTCCGCCCGGGCATCGCACAGACGCACAGACGCAAGGCGGCAGATAGATCTTGGCTTTTAATTGCACTCTGCTCCTGACTGGAGAGATAAGCGAGGACAGGAACACCGGGAGACAGAAATGTTCTTTATTCATTGTGCTATATAAAGATTTTCTAATTATAAAGTTTAATTAAGTTCATTATTTTTTCTGCTTCAGATTAAATGAATATGAAATATTCCGCGACTTTCCCTGAACTTTTCCCAATTACCTTCCTCTTCATGTTTCTCATGTATGCTTAATTCATCAGCCGGTCTCCTCCACACGCATCTGTAGACAGACAGAGACTTTCACTCCGTATTCAGAGTCTGATAAAGAAGACCTGTCACCGCCGCCTGTCAGGATCGGCACCGAGGCCACGCCTCTGATACGCCACATTCCGAGAAGCATCTAATGCGACTGCGCACCTTCTATGGGGAAGAGCTCACAACGCACTGAGACGTGTGGTGGAGTGACTGAACCCCGGAGAGGAGAGTTAGAATAAGAGAGAGAGTCCTCCAGCAGCAGCGCAGAGTATTTCAGGAGAGGAGAGTTATAGAGGAGGAAGGAGCGGAGTCCTCCGGCAGAGCAGAGTATTTCAGGAGAGGAGAGTTATAGAGGAAGGAGCGGAGTCCTCCAGCAGTGCAGAGTATTTCAGGAGAGGAGAGTTATAGAGGAAGGAGCGGAGTCCTCCAGCAGTGCAGAGTATTTCAGGAGAGGAGTTATAGAGGAAGGAGCGGAGTCCTCCGGCAGTGCAGAGTATTTCAGGGAGAGGAGTTATAGAGGAAGGAGCGTAGTCCTCCAGCAGTGCAGAGTATTTCAGGAAGGAGCAGAGAGTTATAGGGGAAGGAGCGGAGTCCTCCAGCAGCGCAGAGTATTTCAGGAGAGGAGAATTATAGAGGAAGGAGTGGAGTCCTCCAGCAGCGCAGAGTATTTCAGGAGAGGAGGAGAGTTATAGAGGAAGGAGCGGAGTCCTCCAGCAGTGCAGAGTATTTCAGGAGAGGAGTTATAGAGGAAGGAGCGGAGTCCTCCAGCAGCGCAGAGTATTTCAGGAGAGGAGAGTTATAGAGGAAGGAGCGGAGTCCTCCAGCAGAGCAGAGTATTTCAGGAGAGGAGAGTTATAGAGAAGGAGCGGAGTCCTCCAGCAGTGCAGAGTATTTCAGGAGAGGAGTTATAGAGGAAGGAGCGGAGTCCTCCAGCAGAGCAGAGTATTTCAGGAGAGGAGAGTTATAGAGGAAGGAGCGGAGTCCTCCAGCAGTGCAGAGTATTTCAGGAGAGGAGTTATAGAGGAAGGAGCGGAGTCCTCCAGCAGCGCAGAGTATTTCAGGAGAGGAGTTATAGGGAAGGAGCGGAGTCCTCCAGCAGCGCAGAGTATTTCAGGAGAGGAGAATTATAGAGGAAGGAGCGGAGTCCTCCAGCAGCGCAGAGTATTTCAGGAGAGAGGAAACGAATAGAGGAAGGAGCGGAGTCCTCCAGCAGTGCAGAGTATTTCAGGAGAGGAGAGTTACAGAGGAAGGAGCGGAGTCCTCCAGCAATGCAGAGTATTTCAGGAGAGGAGAGTTATAGAGGAAGGAGCGGAGTCCTCCAGCAGTGCAGAGTATTTCAGGAGAGGAGAGTTATAGAGGAAGGAGCGGAGTCCTCCAGCAGTGCAGAGTATTTCAGGAGAGGAGTTATAGAGGAAGGAGCAGAGTCCCTGGCAGAGCAGAGTATTTCAGGAGAGGAGAGTTACAGAGGAAGGAGCGGAGTCCTCCTGCAGAGCAGAGTATTTCAGGAGAGGAGAGTAATAGAGGAAGGAGCGGAGTCCACCAGCAGTGCAGAGTATTTCAGGAGAGGAGAGCTATAGAGGAAGGAGCGGAGTCTCCAGCAGCAGAGCAGAGTATTTCAGGAGAGGAGTTATAGAGGAAGGAGCGGAGTCCTCCAGCAGTGCAGAGTATTTCAGGAGAGGAGAGTTATAGAGGAAGGAGCGGAGTCCT